TTTTTTCCTAAAGATCAAAAGATATTTCAGGTCCTTCTACCAAACCTTCCTTAGTCATCCTTTTTTCTGATCCATTTTAGAAAATGTCTGTTCTGTGTATGTTATGTGGGTCCGAATCACAGTTTGCAACCTGCTCTGCACATTCACGCACTTAAAGCCTATGACATCCTTCATCTAGCCTCCTGAAATCACACATGGTTCTTTAAGCCATGATGCCCTACTATCATGAAGAAAGTAACATGTCAGGTTATTCTTCACCCCATTCCAATATAAAATGAAACAGTTCACCTTGAAAATACAGGTCACATAAATACTTTTCTTCAACTGCACTCCTTAGCAGTAATTTAAACTAACCTGACTTTTTCCTGGTGAAACAGAACACATAGCATGCATGCAAGGGAGTCTGTTTGGGACTGTATTATTTCTACAGTATAAATACAATATATGTATGTGCATGCAATAAGCAAAAACACTTTACATTGCAGTCCCCTCACTGTTTTGTTTCAGATGAGTTCTTACTTCTAGTGTCCAGTCCTCCTCTGTAGCCTGTCCAGCCTTTCAAAGTAATTGTGTCACCCAAGAGATGCAAAAATCTTTCAAAGCTTTCACTTCCAGTTTCTATATGTGGAGGGAAGAAATGTTAAAGCAGAAAAGCACAAGTAGCAATACAACACCTTAAAAAAAATAAATACAAGAAAAGGTCCTGCTTCCAGGACACGAGGATCAAAGTTCCAGCTGAATTAGTTTCTACTCATGTCATCCAAACTTTCTACCTCTACAGAAATGACATCCCAGCCTTGCAGAAAAGGCATAATCATGTGATATCAAACAGTGGCCTCTTTTGTTAACTCCAAGACACTGTTCAAGTCCATAGAAGAATATGATCATGCTGCAAAAATGTAAGAGCGAAAGAAATAGAAACAACAGTGAGTTTTTGCAGGTAACATGAGTTGCCTCCTTCAACTGCTTCCTTTTTCTGAATCCTACACAGTACAGTCTATTTCTAGAAAAGATTTTTCAGTATCTTCCAAGTTGTAATAGTACGTTTCTACAGCAACCTTTTATAAAAATAGAAGATTCTATACCACAATTTTTCACCCAACATGAACATGAAAACCAAACAAAACTACTGTTCATGCAACCATCACTTCTCTTCTGGCTTCCATGTGTAGGCACTACCCTACATTTTTTATTCAGATGAATAAAACTGTGAAGAAAAATGTGAAAAACTCACCATTGCTGAACATTTCATCATCTGTAAGCTGCCCATCCTTAGCATAAAGGACTCCAAATTTGAAGTTCACTGATCCCTGAGGAATAAACCAAATATTATATGATAAAGCAATCAAACAAAACACCTAAAATAATGTTTTCTCTAAGGACTTCTATATACGTACCTTTGTATACCTTGTGTACATCCCAACCATGGAAATACACATTTCATACTAACTCCATTATGTGCTCAAGTAGCAGAAACCTAATAATTTACCTTTGATCATAAATTACTAATTTTATTATATACTAAGTTGGTGATCCTTTAATATATATTAAGTTGGTGCTTAAAATTATTTTGGTCTTATACATTGCAAATAAATACTATATTTTTTTACTGCAATAAGCAATTAATTTTGAAGTTGTCACAAGCATGTCAGTGCAAATATTTCAGATACAAAGCTGTAGTCGTTGAACAGGTCTGTGAGCTAGAAGTGGTAAGTTTACATTTACCTCTTGCTCTTCAAGAACCAATAAATCCTGTAAACAAAACAATATCTTTAGCGCACTGGTATTAAAGATGACACAAATAAAACTGTAACAACCTTGTATATTTAAGTTTTGTTTTGAAGTGGCCAATACAACTCATAAAGACAGTTTACTCTGTAGTATCATGTAACCCTACTCATCATTATTATCCTGATAGTGAAAGAAACAAACTAGTAGCATTTATATTTAATGACTTATTTTTCCCCGAATAAAGAAAAATGACGACAAAAAAAGAAGTCACCTCCTTCCTACCTTTTGTATTTCAGGATGAAAAATTTCCCTTGGGCTCTTCTCAAATTTGTCAAGACTCATAGCACTGAAATCCAAATGAAATACTGCTTTATAGTAGAACAAGTATACATTTCAACATTACACCACTAACTGGTAGCAGTTAGAACTGCTTATGAAAGCAATTGTTCAAAGAGTCTCTCTTACACAGAATGTTTTGTGGAATAGTAATTTCTTTCCCACAATACTAACTCCAACACAGTACAGAAATTAGTAAGGCCCTGCACGGAGATCAGGTTTAAATTTAATGTATTTACTTACAACGCACAGAACTTTATTCCATCACATAATCACTGTGAGCATCTTATGAGGACTCAGTAACCTATTCTATTTTTTTCTAAGCTTTTCTTCTCTCTTTTCTAAAATAATTCAAGAAAAGTTAAATGAAAAACAAGGAGTTCAGCATCAAATTCACATGCCAATGATCCACAAACAGAACAGAAAAAAGTATTTAAATAAGAAGCAAGATCAGCTGACTCAATAGTCAGAAATGTCTAATTTATAGCATTTTTTCCTGACTCATGTTTCTGCATTTACTATTATTTTTGTCCATTTTCCCCCAACATTAGTTTACAGAACTGTGCAGCATGCCGCGGAGTGTTGAACGGTCTTTTCTGGGGTGCAGTGAACTAACAGGGAGGTCAAATCTGACACACCTTTCCATCATTGCTTATGCCATATCACAATGCACACGGGATCTGCACTACTTCCTTCTAAAATCGTCCAATTAATTTAGAAAAAGCAGGTTTATTAATGTAACTATAATTTTCGAGACAGTCAGTACCTAGATTCACACTGGCTATGAACAGGAGAAATATCAAAGGAATATCAATCAGGCCTGAGGGAAGGTTCAAAGACCGTAAAAGCAAAAGAATAGTCAGGGAAGAGATTTTAGTCCAAGCCCAAGCAGGCAAAAGGACATGAAATTTATCCAGCTAATTTCAGGTGGCACAGACCCTAGTAGAAGTGAGGAACAAAGTCTGAAACAAGCCTGCATTTTCCTCTGTAAAACACTGAAGCACCACAGGATGGAATACACAAGTGTTTCACAGAAGAGTTATGAATTTAGCTAACAGAAGACAAAGTTTCTCCACTCTGGGATGCCTGATCAAAAATGTGTATGTGGGTGAGCTTAGAGGGAGAGGCTGGGTTAGAAAGGGAAGTTAGGGAGAGATATGTCAGCAATTGGTGAGTGGACATGGAAGATCAGGTGCTTACGCAGGTAGAGCATGCAGTTCTGACAACTAGGAACACTACTCAAGCCAGTGCTGTAGGAGTCAGAAGAGGGGACTTAGCTCATCTCAATGAAGAGGAGAGAGATCAGAAGTGTTTACAGCTCACCATCTTGGCACTCCAAACCAGAGCCACAGCCCAGGAAATCAGAATTAATAAGTGAGGCCCAGTGGCCTGCTAGCCTTTCTGTCAAATTCACTGGTCTGGGACCTCAGAGATCTTGCCCAGTCGTATGAAAATTTAGATCTGGTGGTACTGACTCCACATCACAACACATGCCCTGTTCCCACAGTTCTCTCACATCAGCACTGGCAGTGTTATCCAGTGGACTGGCTTCAACCAAGCAAGAGACATTTGCTTGTACTCTACACAGATCAAAGGTTTTGAGGACCTGCAGATTGCCCATTTATCTGGTACACACTACCTGTTCAATAAACGAAGGCACTTTTTAATGGTTTCTAGAGGAAGAAAAATCCTTACAGAAGATGCATTTTGAAGACGTCGCCAGTGAGGGATTCAAGAAAACACACCACATGATTAGATCATAAAAACAGAAGACTAAATTTGACTGAACACTTTGCAACAGGTGCTTTGACACTTCAGCAGACCATGACGTGAAAAGAAATAGAAATGGTGTTAGGCTTGTTCACTTTATGCTCTCTTCTGCCACAAAAGAGGCAGGACAGAGTACAAGCATGCCCGCACAGACTCTGGTTGGGAGGAGTAGTTTTCTTGGCTGCACTGACAGTGTAAATAACACACCCAAAGGGAGATTTACATGAAGCCAATCAACTGAAGTAATAATTCTTGGTTTCTTCTTTGCTTGCTTCCTCTTGCTAGGGTCTCATAATAACCACCTCTCTAGTCAAAATCTGCTGTTCCTTAGGTCTATTGTCTATCTAATTTGAAGAGATATTTCTTCTCAACCACTGCAGTTCCATTTAGAACCTGTTTTTCAATTAACTTGAAAATAGTCCCTCTACTGAAGACAAAATGCTAAAAATGCCACTCCATTTTAAGCTGTCACTTTGTCTATTACAGAATAGGCTTTAAAACCACTTTTTGCTACCTTCAATGCTTAATATTTGTAAACCTGTTTTTATTTTTCTTATAAATATTCACAGAATCACAGAATGTTAGGAGTTGGAAGGGACCTTGAAAGCTCATCCAGTCCAACCCCCCTGCCAGAGCAGGATCACCCAGACCAGGTCACACAGGAACACGACCAGGCGGGTTTTGAATGTCTCCAGAGAAGGAGACTCCACAACCTCTCTGGGCAGCCTGGGCCATGCTCTGTAACCCTCACAGTAAAAAAGTTTTTCCTCATGTTCACATGGAACTTTCTATGCTCCAGCTTGCTCCTGTTGCCCCTTGTCCTGTCTTTGGACACCACTGAGAAGAGCCTGGCTCCTTCCTCCTGACACTCGCCCTTTACAAATCTATAAACATTAATGAGGTCACCCCTCAGTTTCCTCTGCTCCAAGCTAAAGAGACCCAGCTCCCTCAGCCGCTCCTCAGAAGGGAGAAGCTCCACTCCCTCCACCATCTTTGTGGCTCTGCGCTGGACTCTCTCCAGCAGTTCCTGTCCTTCTTGAACTGAGGGGCCCAGAACTGGATGCAATATTCCAGATGCAGTCTCACCAGGGCAGAGTAGAGGGGGAGGAGAACCTCTCTCGACCTACTCACCACCCCCCTCCTGATACACCCCAGGATGCCATTGGCCTTCTTGGCCACAAGGGCACAGTGCTGGCTCATGGTCATCCTGCTGGCCACCAACACCGCCAGGTTCCTTTCTATCTGCCATGAAAATCATGTAACACAAGCTTTGAATTACAGGAAAAGGCATACAGACAAATATCCTAACTGATAATGTATTTGTAAATACATACCTCAATATAGATTTCACTGATAATGTTTTTGTGGGACTATAAGGGAGACATATTTTCTGAGTGCCCTATAAAGAAAAAAAAGCTAGAAGATATTACAGGACATACTGAATTTTTCCGTATATTCGAATAAGAAATATTAATAAAAAAGATTAATGAAAAAAAAAACAAAGACCAAAACCATGCTACTTTTACTTAGACATATTTAATACTAGTTTGGGAAGAAAAAGAAAGAGGAAGAAAAATTGAATGTCAAAAGTCATGGATGGCGCAAAATTATTTTTTACTTAGTTTAGACTACCTTAGCATGTGGTATGAGGGCTGCTGAAACTAGCAGACTTAACAAATGACTTTTTTTTAATTAAGAAAAACTAAAAACTATTTTTCTTAATTAAAAAAAGAAGAAAGAAAAAAGAAAATTGAACCACACGTGTACAGGAGAGTTTTAAATCAATTGCCTGGATAGAAGGCTCTTATGGAATGTCACGTGAAAAACAATTCATTAAACCGTACTAGTGAAACCAGTATCACACCTGCCTATTTTCTTAACGTTGTGTAAGAAAATCCTAAAAAAAGCAGTATACAGTCATTGCCTAAATTGATCACAGGCTGTAATAAAGAACAACTTAGGCAACATTTCTAAAAACAACATAGTTTGCAGTTAAGAACAATTTAAAAATATCTGGCATCACAGATTTCTGTCAGAAAGTTTAGTATAACGTTATCTACAAAGCTATTCTAGTTTTATTTAGTATGGTAGAATTATATCTTATTGTATGAAATGAAAAATATGTATGAAAAACTGAAATTCTGAAGAAAGCAAAAAAGTGCATAATAAACATATCCAAAACAAACAAGCAAACCAAAAAAAAAAGTCAGAGCAGCAGTTGATAGTTGTTTCTTACTGTTTTTCTCCAAAGTATTGAATGGTATTGAGGAACACACTGAGTATTCTGGTCAGACAGCACAACAGACAGAAAGAAAGGGTTCTTCTCTGCATCCATACCTATATAATTTTGATGAACTGTTCAGAAAAAAAAGCAGCATTATCAACAGTAAAGAGGATGGACGCACCCACTCACACGTGCACACAGACACATGTATAAATGTGTAAATATATGCATTCACATGTAAAAATACACACTTAGCTACATAAGTAACTATGCATTTATATACAGATGTGTAAAAAACCCAAGAGACAGGTACAGTCGCCAAGGCCAATAAGGGTTTCAAAACATCCTTTTTAGGTAGCAGGGGCTCTGCCGCTTACAGAAACAGATCATCTGTCTTCAGGTTAAAAATACATGAAAATAACTTGTTTTCTGTATAGGACAGAAAATGTATTAATACTAAATTAATACCATACTTTTTTCCATCTTTAAATAATAGCAATTCAAAGTTACATTGCATATGCATTGATCAAAACTTTAAACCATTTGCAAAAAGATAATTACCTTTCCCTAAAAAATATTTGAAATACCATCTTGTATGATACTCTGGGTTTTCCAAATGCACATCTGTTCTGTGCCATGTACCCGGAGCGTAGTCTGTATTCTGAAATAGAATTGGGAGACTGTCAGAGCAAATGCTGAGTGAAAGAAAAAGAGAACCTAATACAGGCAAAAGCCTATTATTAGTTCAATACAAGCTTACCAAGACCTTACGTATATTTCAAGAATTATGAGGTCTTCTTTCTTTCAATATTAAGATGATATTTAGAGCCAAAAAAGTTTTGCAAAGGAAGATAAAAAATTAAGATAATGGGAAACCCAAGTGTCACTGGAGTGGCTGGCGGGACATATCACCGATTTAATGGCACAGGAATCTGGAAGGAATGACTGTCTCAGGTTCCACTCCGCTTCTTTATCTCTTATTTAAAGATAAACATAGCTGCCAGAAGACAACTAAGGCAGGAAGGGGTGGGGGAGCAGTGGAAGGGAGGGATGAAGCTATAACTTCATCACACAGAGGAATAAACCTAAAAGCACAAAGGTGAGCTTGAACATAGTAGTATTACCGGGACACCAATATAAAGTGACGAAATAGAGACTGTGAAGCATTATTCAGAGGATAAGATAGGTAGTTTTCTTCTAATGTGATCAGGCAAACAACACGTTACCAAAACTAAACAAAATACCAGCTTTTCCCTTAAAAAAATTAAAACTGTTGAGATTGCACAATCTTGAAAAAAGAGCTGAGCTAGACTTTGAGGAGGGAAAAAACCAACCATCTCCCTCCTCTTAGGTTCTTACATTTTCATAGTACTTAGCATTTTGCAAGTCCTCTTCCTTGGTAATTGACCACAAATACAGCTTTCAGTGGTGAAGAATAAGTGAAGCTGAATAATTTTTTCAGCTTTCTATGAGCATCTTTAGCCACCTACCTCACCAGAAGAGCCATTTTCCACACGGAACCGTCCAGCTCTTTGAATGGCTCCATCAGCATCACTAGATATAAGCTATAAGAGAGTTTAAGATAAAGTTTCTAGTTCCAAAAGTAGCCATACGATCAGCAATCAAAGTTTACTACTGTTTCTTCTTCCAGGCATCATATGACTACCCACAGAGAATGGATCAGCACAGCTTGTGCTAATTTGACCACAGATTTGGAGTGACCAATTTATAACTCTGAGGCAGCATGAGCAGGAGAGCCACCCACTCTTTTGGTGGAACCCAGTACTAATCAGAAATTCTCCTGTGTCAGATTTTGGCTGCACCAACATATGCAGAATGTGTACAGAGGCACGTGCCCACTTTCTAGGAACTTATCTTGAAGCTTGCTCCTTTCAAAACAATGAGTCTTACAGACATGATGATTCTTGTCCTCTCAGCCTTGCTAAGCCCAAAACTCCACTTTTTTGCAGTATTACCAGACTGGCAGTCTTTTACTGCATTTACTGATGGTTTCAAGAGACAGAGAGCAGCAAGAATCTCCAAACGTAATACTCAGTGATGACACTGAACAACATAAGGTACAGAAGGTCTGCTTCCAACACTAACATAAGAAAGTACGGCTTATTTCCAGCTGTGGAATTCAACAGTTTAATAAATACTCTGGAAAGACTGCTTGGTCTTTTTATAAGGGAATCCACGGGTTCCCAGAACACTGAAACTCTCTTTGTTGTTCAAAAAAACTTGTGACGATTCTGATGTGTTCAGCAACACTGTTTTGGATCTCTACAAGAGAAGAGGAGGACGATGCTGCCAACGATACCGCATGTTACTCCTCTTAAAACTGTAAAAAATGAGATCATCACATATCATACCTAACTTGTTAAATGGAATCTGAACAACAATAATACAAGGGCATATCACTCTTTGCTTCCCTCTAGCAATCCATGTTATTCTAGGATAACACTTTCTCCCTTTAATTACTGGAAGAGACATCACAACATTTTGAAGTTCTCTTTGCTTCTTGCTTTGAAGTGATCTGAAGCTACATTGGGAATAAACTAATGTGACTAAAATGCCAACACATTCTGGTGCCTTGTATAAACTGTAAGAGAAATTATATGGTCAACTGGTTGCATTACACCAGTGGGAAAGACACAGCAAAAAAATAATTATTTTGTCTCTGCCTAAACATGTTGTAATAAATAAGAGTTGGAAATAATTGAGCAAGTGAGAAAACTGCTGTGGAAAATATTAAGCAAGGAAGGTGTAATGTGAAACATTTAAAAATTTGAAAGAACAAGCAGCACTTTTAAATGTATGTACTCCAAAAGATAAAAAGACACACTTTCATAAAATACTAGCATAATTTTAAGAAAACCAATCAAAACACAAGACCATTTGTGTCAGTTTACTGTGAATTTATAGTTATCAATAGATCTTTCAGCTGGAAAAGAAAAAATTAAGTACTAGTAATGAAAAAGTCTCTTAGCAGAAAGCAGTTCACTTGCTTTTTTGATTAAAGCACCACATCTAATATGTGGAATGTATAGAAAGAAAACAAAGATACCTGGTGTTCTTGCAATGCAACTTCCAGCAATTACACCACCAATTTACACTAAATTTACATAGATATTAATAAATATACTATCTAAGAGCTTTAAATTATAACTACAGCTAGAAGAAAATCAGTGATTTCCTTCCACAGTAAGAGAGCTGGAGTTCAACTTCTTTACCCCTCCCCACTTCAGTTTTCCTACAGTAAGTTTATGTCTTTTCCTTATGGCCTTGTATACAGAGTGATGCTACTGTAACTGCTGACACACTGCTATTTTCATAGTGGAGAAGAAATTTATATATGAGAAAAATGAAGAGCCAACTTAATCTTTGAATTCAAAGAAAATGCAGAATAACTGACAGATTTTATGGAACAGTTTTCAATATCCTTATTCTGACTAGTTCCTTTAAATTTAAACCCTCTCCCACTACTCTGAGGTATGCACACATAAAATCACCTACATACATGCACATGTACACACACAAGCAAGCAGAGTTTTTAATCACATAATTCCAAGTACTTCATCAAATACTACTCTAATATTTTGCAATCTTCAACTTATAAGAGGAAAAAAGGCTCTATTTCTATCGGGGGGTAACCACGATATTTACAAAACACTTTCTGTCACATTATAATGAAATATTCATAAATAAGGTAGTAAAAAGATTTTCTAGCACGGTTCTAACATATGTATTCTGAAACATATTTTTATTACCCTATAACTTTCAAGTCCGGCTTAGAAAGCACATTTTTCAAACTAGGCCTAATTTTTAACCTGGAAATGAAGGGGATTTGAGCTCCACATTATAAGCTGCTAAAATCAAACAGGCTATGTAAACTTACAAGCTCCACAGATCCGTAATGCTTTCTGCTAAACTCTCCACGTCTGCAACCCAGATCCTCAGAGACAGAGCTGGAATAGAAATGCTTCATCAGTGTACACAAGTCAACTAGTCTTAGATCTCCCGCAACGCTACACCCTGCCATTAACAAATACCATTCCT